CCTTAGCCGAGCCACCTCGAGCTGGCCCGCGCCATGGCCGAGCCAGTTCAGCCTGGCCGGCACTTGCCTTGCCTCCCGCGGCCATTTCTGAGTCCATGTCCGCTTCTGTTCCTATTCAAGTTGATCCAGTACCTTTGATGAAGTCCTACGGTAGTGTGGATCTTTCACGATTCAAGATGAAGATCATAGATCACCTTAATCCTTTGCACGAGGATCGATGTAAACTCTCGATCAAAGAATACTTAGGTCCGGTGAATAAATCCCGAGTGGCTATTCAAGCTGGGGGTCGTACACGCACTCCCTTCAAGTCAAAGCCATCCCATGAAGGGAAAATTCCAATAACCACCCGGTTAGGGCTATGTGTCGAAGTCCAAGAGCCCGTGAGGTCTCACGTTCTCTCAGGTATGATCCTAAATGAGTGACTCTTGATAATGCTAATAAGACGTTATGTTCCCAGAAGGAAACGTATTCCTCAAATGACGACCACGTTACACTTAGGAAGTCATCATAACACCCGATAAGTTGCTCCGGTAATAATACCGATGAGTTGTACTATCGAGCTGGGGGTACGAACAAGTCTCGGAAGAGAAGCATCCGGGAAATTGATTCCTACTGTTCGTGTGCTAAACTTATCAGAGCAGTATTATCAGAGTGTTGCTACCCCAAGACCGCTCCACAGAGGGTCTCGGTATTTGAAAGACTTTCCACAAAAACATCAAAGCCTAAGCCAAGGTGTTTTCGCAAGAGAAGATCGGTCGTTCAAAAAGAGGAACTCCCTGAAGTCAGCATCAACGTAGCCGATAAAGGGAAGTCAACGCGAAGTTTCAGTCCTGATCCTTTTCAAGAGGTGTCCCAGCATATAACTCGGCTACGATCTGGAACCATCAGACCAATGGATTATCAACGGATGAATAGAGGGTTATCCTCGGAGGATGAAATGTCAAACGCCAACTCCGCGATCACTTCCAACAATACAGTCTCTAGCACAAGACAATCTCATGAGGCGTTCATGATCAACGCTGAAAAAATAGCCAAATTCCTCGAAGACGCTCTGGCCAAGCAGAAAGAGAATTTCAAATTTGAAATGTAAATGACTATGTAATGGATAAGGGAATTGCATGATCAACAAATTCAAGCTTTATCAAAGAAGATTGGTGAATCTAGCCATCGTAACGCTACTAATCAGGTAGATAGCGATTTAGATGTGGATGAGAATCTCAACGCTGATACCCATCCTATTGACCAAAATGCTAGGGGTGATCCTACCGAGGATGACAACGTTAGGGGTGGTCCAGTTATTACTCCCCAAAATTGCCCGAAATAAAATGCGAGCTAGGACGAAAAAATGAAAAACCTGGAAAGTAAGATCAATGCACTGATGTCCACTTAAAAGATAAAGAAGACTGGTATTCCATGTCCTTACCTAAGGGAGTGGGAGTCAAACCCGTATCTGGTGAAGTTTAATCTAATTAACTTCACGTCGTTCGATGGAAAAGGCTCACCCACTCAATACCTAATTTACTTCAAGTTCCACTTAGGTGTG